CGGAGAGCGCTGGGCGGCGCTCGGCGTGCGGGTCGCGGCTGAGCTGGGCGCCGGCGCCGGCTGGCGGGGCTCGCCCGGGACTACCTCAGGCTCGCCGAGCTCGCCGCCGGCCCGGTCCGAGGGCCCGCCTGACCGCACCGGCCCGCGCCCGCTCCTGTCCGACCGGCTGTGGGGCTGCGGGGGCCGCGTCCCGGAGGCAGCGGCCGCCAGCGCGGGGCACTCAGCGGCCACCCCCGGGGACCGGGGCTGCGCGGCCGGCGCCCGCCCCGTGCCGCCGCCGCCGGGCCGACCGCCCGGCTTGGCTCTGCCGCGCCCCGGCAGCGGTGCCTGGCCCGGGTTGCGCGCCGCTGGGGGCGGGCGGGGTCGGGGGTTGTGGGGCTGCCGCTGCTCGCCTGCCGCGCGTCGGCGTCCCGGGCCCGGCGGCCGGCGAGCATGGAGGAGAAGTACCTGCCGGAGCTGATGGCGGAGAAGGACTCCCTGGACCCCTCCTTCACGCACGCTCTGCGGCTGGTGAACCAAGGTGAGAGCGCTCGCCGGCCGGCCGTTAACTGTCGCCGGCGGCCGTTGGGGCCGGGGGAGTGGCGGCCGGGGGCCTGGGGACAGGGGAGTGTCGGGAGCGGATAGAAATGCGGGGCGCTTGGGAGGCGGACCTGTGGGGTTGGCTGGAAATAGACCTGGGGAGGCTGGCGGGGATCCCGGTAGCAATCTGGGGGCATTTGGGTGGGGACCTGGGAGAACGTGGGATACCGGGGCGGGGAAGGAGATATGCTTTTGGGAGGCTTGGCAGGGGGGCAGAAGGCTGGATGTGACTTGAAGATCTTTGGGGACTCGAGGATACCCGAGGGAAACTTGTGGGTGGGGGACGGCGAACATCTGGGGGATATGGCGGGGCGGGGGTTGAATGATCTCATTGGAGGGGAGTTTGTGAGGGACTCAGGGATCCTAGTGTGTTTGGTTTGTCCAGGGAACTGGAGAAAGAGCTGGAGCAAAATGGAAGGATCTGAGAAGATGAAATACACACGAGGTGAAGGGAACAGGTGCTTGCATTGTTAGTAAAGTTTGAGGACCTTGGGGGAGGTTTGGGGTCAGACCCTGAGCATTTCAGAGGAGAGGGACCCGGCGGTCCTAGTGACAGAGCCCAGTTCCTCTTCTCTCCCTCTTGTTCTTCCATGCCAAGGCTCTAGCCACCCTTGTAGGGTGGTCTGCCCTCCCTGGGGGTGGGCAGCTCCAGCCAGGGCTTGCAAGCTGGCCCTTGGAGGGGTTGGTAGGGGAGAAGAGGCCCACGCAATTGCGCCCTTCTTGGCTTGCCTGTCTTCTCTTTGGGAAGCTCTGGGTGGGTCACTCTCACTGGGGGCTGGCTAGGGGTTGGGAAGACTGGGCAAGGAGTCTTTGCTGCCTATGCCTTTCAGCACTGCTTCAGCCAGTTCAGGGTGTGAACAGTCCTGGGAAGTACAGGGCACAGGGATACAGGGACATATGGAGGCGTGCCTACCTAGGACCGTATTTCCTGGCGTTTTCTTCCTCCAGCTTCATGAGTAATCTGGGATGGACGGTAAATCAAGCCTGCATTCCCAGGAGCAGTCCTCAGCTCCTTCCGTATCTGTTAATCTGTGTTTCAGATAAAGATGGGTTTGGGGGCCACTGGTCTGCTTTTTCTCTGGGTGATGGCAGAAACATTATCTGGTCAGATCTGTTACCTTTTGCATGAATCAATCCGTGCAGTGACAGTTTGTGGTCCCCGAGTTAAATCGGGTCTGCTGATCTTAATGCTGGCCCTGGCTCCTTTATTGTTGGAAGTGAAAGATGAGGCAGACATATTCTATTTGTATATAGATGTCTATATTTTAAAATAGCAACCTCCAGCATTTGCCTATTTCAACCAGTTCTTCAGAGTAGGGTGTTGTCGACTGATGGTGGTAGTGGAGAGACTCACTATCTCCAAGAATTTAAACATGAATGCTGTTTGAATGGTTGAACAGAAATCGGTTTACAGAGCTCTCCCATTTTAATTGCAAGCTTATTTTTATTTCTTTAATAAAGTGGGCTTGTGAAAAAGTGATGGGCTTACATTCTTAAATTAGAGAAAAAGAATTTTCAGTTTTATTCCCATGCTCTTCTGAACTGTTCTGCAGTTAGGCTTGTATTCCTTGCTCTTTATGATTTACATATATCTTTTGTTGCCTGCTGGGCTGTCATTTCTGTGAAAGAAATTTCTTTGTACATTGTGTGAGATCAGTGGCATTAGAAATATCCTAGATTGTGGAATCAAGTGCATTTTTTTTAATAAAGAAGCTGACAAAGTTATGTTGTACTCAGTTAAGAAACAGATTAACTGAAAGTGTAATGAGTTATCTTATTTTGAAAGTTAGATTTTTTTCTCTGTGCCATGTTGTTATAGTACCGTGTTGCTAATACATTGAAAATTCTCTCAGTTTCTGTTTCTACTGGTGGTAATGGCCTCTAGTTACTTGAAACAGATACTGGACAATATTGCCATTTAGTATTTTTTTTTTTTAGGTGTTAAATCTGATTACCTTACTTTCCCATAAAAAGTGTAATTTGGGTAAGAAGTACATTTTTCACATTGAACAATTATGTGAAAGAAGGAAAGGGTGCTCCTGAGGTGCTCTTATTACTGTTAATTTAGATTACTTCAGACAGACATGTTTCCCCTTAAGTCATAAGCTGATATCCAGAAAGCAAAGCCCTATCATTTAAAATATTAATCATGCTCATTTATGTAACTCCAGAATTACAAGTGCATTTCTAAAATAGTATCTTAAATCTGAATTTGAATGGTTATTAGAAAACTTTGATTTTGAATCTGACAAGTGTCTTGTTATTGGCTACAGAAAAGTATTTTTATTCTTATTTAGCTACATTTTTGACTCTTTGCCTCGAAAAAAAAACTATTTTTTTCGGAGTTTATTCTGAATTTCAATACTGGCGTTAGCGATCCGACAGTAACTTGTGCAGTGACAATGGTCAGCAGTGAACGCGATACCTCATGTTTGTGTGGAGTGTGTTCAAGTTTCAAGTGTGTTCAAGTTCAAGGCTCTTAACGGTACCATGACGTCCAGTTCTTGCACTCTTGTGAGGTCGACACTGATGTCTCCATTTTTCTGGGGAGGCAGCTGAGGAACCCAGTTATGCGAGCTTGTGGGCAACTGAGATTTAATTTGAACTCAGGTCTTCTGTCTCCGAAAGCCATTATTCTTGCCACTTGTGCCTTCCCGCAAAGATGGAATAAAATACTTTGCACATGCTAATTTAAAACCCTTCAGAAATCAATATCATTAATATGCTTGTTTCTGGTCGACTTACCTTGATTTTCTAAAAAAGTGTCTTTCTAGTCTTATCTAGTGGTCTTTTTGAAGAAACAAACATTGGTAGATTTATCCTACAGGATTTTAATGCTCCGGCCAAGAGGCACTTTTGAATTAAAGCCCTCCTGTGACCAGTTTATTACTTTCATAATCAACACATTATGATAATGAAACAGTTTATAAATGAGGTGTTGCCGTTTTTTAAAAATTCAGTACTTGTAAACATTGATCAGCCTCCTAGCTGAATTATTTTTTTTCTAATAATCTTTGGTAAGAACTTGAGCTGGGATGACATCAAGATATATGCTCCTGTGCTAATACAGTTCGGCTTTTATACTTTTCCCAGGCATGTGTTTCATGATGGGCATTAGTTGCTGACTTTTTATTTTCTCAGGCTAACTGGCTCCCCTCCCCCCTAAATACTGAGTGCTTTTGTTTCTCTACCAAATGTAACAGTTAATGTTTACTTAATGTTCAACCTGAATCAAAGAAAATAGGCTTTGGTATCACCCGCTTCCCTCACTTCCATGCCTATAGAGAATTGACATTGCTGTTTCTTGCCAAGGAGGTTTAATTGGAGATGAAAGTAGCGTCCCATGTTTTGTATTATATTTGCTAGTAGGGGATACGCTGACTCTTATGAAAAACATCTTTAGAAATGTCTTATGCATTATATTTAACCCAGCTCTCTGGTACTGCTTTGGATGGTTTTCAATCCAAGCCAAGTAACCATTAAATAAGATTATATAACCCTGTATTTTTAATTATCTGATATAATATATGGATTGATGGCTGGTTCACTGCCAAGTTATATTTAGTGGTTGGTTACAAGAGGAAGTGGAGCAAAGGATTCAAGATTAAGGTGGTCTGTTTGTGTCCAGATTGATAAAGTTCTCTGATGGTATTTCATAATAATAATTTCTCATCTTACATCAATTTCTCTAATATCAGTACTCTTAGCATTACTTAGGATATATGTGAGGGGTAAAAATGTATAAAGGGAGGATCATTACTTAGCCCGATGTGCCATGTCTCTTTTTCAACAAAACCTGACGGCTTAATGTTTCATTTTTGGTGACCCCCTTTTGGAAAATATTTGTGATTTGCTTGACTGTTGTCAGACATGTGGAGTAAGAGAGATGAATGAGAATGGAAATTACAGAATTATACTTAGATGTAGAGTGTGATTCTCTGTTTCATCCAAAGGAGGCTGTGGTTTTTTAGTTTTCAATTGTTTTTCTTAGGGTTTTCCGAATTTTTGATTGTTTTTTGTAAGAAAATGGATGGGATGCCATTTCTGAGTTTCCTGTAGCGTGCTGTGATTCCAGGTGATCCAGTGATTGTGAGTCACAGTGTTTTGGTATCTGGTCATTACTGACATGTTGCTTGAGAAGCTGCCGTGCCAGGCCCTGGGGCTGAGTCCTGGAGGTGGCCAGGGAAGAATGCAGACTCCACTCCTGAGAAATGAGTGTTCTCACATGTGTGAATTTGAGAGTGAGTGTCAAGTTTGTAGATGCCCTTTTCTTTCCTAAGGAAGGTCCTCACCTATCCTTCAACTGTCCTTTTGAAGTGCTGAGTGACTAGATGGTTTAACTTGGTCAGCCTAGGGACATTTTTGAGGTTCTTCTCTGTGCCGAGTCATGTCTGTAATCTGAATACTGTAACAGCCCAGGAATGTAGAGGTTATTAGCGCAACTTTTCAGTTGTAGAAACTCAGACTCCAACAACTAAAGTGACTTACCCAAGGTGATTTACTTGCAAAATGTCCCAGTGAGGGTGCAAGCTTTGTTCTTCTTTCCTGAACCACACTGGCCTGCAGAGGGAGAAGGTCCAGCTGGGCCGGCAGTTCATGGCTGGGCCGGCAGTTCATGGCTGGGCTGGGCTTGAAAGGCAAGTTATATGGCGTCCCTTTTTATACCTCACCCTTGGAATTTCTGCTCTAAGGGATCTCCTGTGATCACTTTCTTATCCCCAAGTGGATTTAGATGGCCCATTTTTTTTCCCAAAGCAGCCGGTGCTTACCTCTCTGATGGTGTGGTTGTCCTTACACTACGTTATTTGGACCTCTGTCTTCCCTGGGAGAGTGTCAGCTTCTGGGCGGCCGGCCTGGGCTTCCGTGGCTTGGTCTTGAGCACCTCGTGGAGCTCTTACAGCCTTCCACTCCTGTCTTCATTTCAGTGTTGTGTTGTAATTT